AATAATAGGATTCTTTCATTCTAATTTTAAACACTTTTGTTCTTTTTTTTTTTAAAAAAAGCAGTTCATATATTTTAGAGTGCTAGTGTAACAACCAAATCGGTAATTATGATAATTTCATACACTACAAGACCAGAAAGGATTATTTAAATAAATTATTTCCATTTTATGCATAGTTACTCTCAGAAGTGTATACAGTAATTCCTTTTCATAACTTAAGATGTTGATGGGAAACAAAAATTATTTTTAAAAATGTATCCAGTCTTCATTTTAGATTTTTCTAAGATAGAAAATGAACTGAAAACAGTAGAAAATTGTTTCAATAATTAAAGTGGTTTTTTCACTCTTCATGATTTACCTCTTCCTTCCTATTTGAATTTGTGGTCTCATTGTCTAGCCATTGGATATTTTCATGCTTTTCCTCTGTTTTGGACAGCACTGCTATTAATATTACAGAACTGTAATTGCTAAAGTCATGCTATATATTCTTTGTAAATAGTCATAATATTAGATTTTCCTTTTGAAATTTCCTAGTACTTCACAACTTTCAATGCTCACTATTCAGAGGTTATGAAACAGCTACTTTGATGTTTCTGGAAGTCAGCTGTTCAGATGTTCTTATTTTAAAATATTTAACTTCAGTATCTTCCCAGTGTATTGCTGAAAAGCAAAATGTGTTCATTTTTATATGGCAGGATTATATTCTTTAAATTTGTCTGAATTCAGAATAATTGAACACTGCACCTCCTCCATCTCACTATTGATGATTTGGACGGAGCTCTGAGCAACCTGATCTAGTTGAAGATGTCCCTGCTCATTGCAGGGGGGGCTGGACTAGATGACCTTTAAAGGGCCCTTCCAACTCAAACTCTTCTATGATGCAATGATTTTACTATTTCTCTTTATAGCTATATAAAGAATTGCTAGGATTTCTTTGGTTGTAAAGCAAAAGACATTTTCCCACTTCTTTAACTCTGGTAAATGATTTTTCCAACAATACTTTTAAACTTGCTTTACCTTCTCAATTTCTTCTCCTTTAAGGAAGCAATTTTACTTTTTTCTGTTTCTAAATGGCAGAGCTGTGAACAGCTTCTTATTTTTGTATTGTCTTAATTTATTTATTTTAGTTTTATTTCTGATCGCTAATTGCACTCTTTTGCTATACTCAAAAATGTTTTTTATAACCAACATGGTCCTCCATGACAGCGAAAGTTAATAGAATTTTCTTAAGGAACTTCTGATTATTACCTATAATTTCCATTTAAATTTCTCCTACAGTCTCTTTTGATTACAATTTTTTTCAGCTTTTGGAAACTGTCTTTTACACTTGTGTTTATTCACAATCAGATTTTACATGTAGTTCTCTATATACAAAATATCAAAATTCAAAATATAAGACATGCTGAATGTAATACTTACACATACAATGATGAAGTCAAGCCAACACCAGGCATTTGTGAAATAACTGTGCAAACCATAAGCTACCCATTTTAGAAGCATCTCCATTAAAAAGATGTAGGTAAATATTTTATCAGCATACTCGAGGAGCATTTTCACATTTTTTCTCTCCTGCAGGTGAATATCTTCAAATGCCTGGAATTTCAGAATTCAGTTTTAAAACAGTTTTATAAAAATTACTTTTAAATTGCACAAGAACGCACAGTTTGGCTGTGTATTTCATATTAAATTACAGGCAACAACCACTTAGTTTTATAGTTACAAGTAAAAACCCAAATTGTAACATAAGTACAGTTTCATTTTCAGGTTGGTTGAAAAATCCCATACTTTCAGTTGTTTATGCTCAACGCTTCTTCAAAAAGTATCTGATGAGGGTTAATTGTGGCTACCAAAAATCTTGGCTTCCCAAGTTAGTGGGTGTTGGTCTAAAATTCTTCATAATAAAGTTTGAATGAAACATGTTAATCACTGTCTTTCAGACCTAGACCTTCCTTAGTCAGCTGACAGAGTTGTAACTGAGATATGAAAAACCATGACAAACACCTTAACTGGAACTGTTCGTTTCTGGAGTTTCACATTTTTTTCACCTAAATCCTGACATTACTTTAATGTATGGGCTTTTAATGAGGGCTTAGGAAAATGTTTTATTGATTGCTGTAGTTTACATCATTGCTCACTTGTGTTTAATATATTTGCTGCCTTGCTAATTTATTTTAAGTTTTTGATAAATCTATTCCCAATTCCTTTTAACATCTGCATTATTTCCTCACCAAGCCTCTGGCAACGTCTTTATTCTTCCTTTCATCGATTTCTCCCCTACCTTATAGCTCCATCTCCACTTCATTTCTCTTTTGCTGCCAACATTTCTAATGATCTATCCATCCACTTTCACCACCACTATTTGCCCCTTACAAATCCATGCCTATCATTACTTTTACTCAAATTTTTTCTTACTTATGTAGATATATCAGAAGCCACCCTGTACCACATCCTTTCCCACACCCTACAATTCCTAGATACAAATTACTCAATCTCCTCTTGTCTCCTTCTCTTTCACACTCTGTCTCAAGAGCTCACTATGTCTCTAAGAGTACATCAGAGCATTTTACAACTTCCCTTTCTCTTATCCTCATTCAAATCTATGTCTCCTTCTCTGACATTGCCTCTGCAGCTGCTAACTTTCTGTCTTATTTCTTGCCATGAGACGAGTAAAAAAGCTGAAATGCTAATCCCAGTCTAAAAGATCACTGATAAGGGGGATCAGTAGCATAACCAGCTGTTTAGATCAAGACCTGAAACAATAAACTCATGTAAAATCGTTGCTGTGTTTCCATTTTATATTCCCACTGAAAAAACACAGGGTAGAGATGCTCCTATGTACAGTTACCAACAATCTGGTAAAACTTATGCACTCCTGCTCTGCAGTGTAAGAAAACAGTAATACTGCTTCTGGAGCTAAGTGGTTTTTGAAGCAGTGGTCATTCAACTGTGCTACAATTAGGAGAAATGTGTACAGAGCAGAGCTGTCACTGCACCCACAGGACAAGTAATTTGACCGTGGGTAACTGAGAACTCCCAGCATTCATGTACATACACCTATTTACCATTTCCTACCTTTTTTTTCTGAGCGTTTGATAATTAGCATTGCCTTTTTTACTGTTTAACCTTGGCTACCTTGATTTCCATCCATTAGTCAAATCACCCGTTCATTAGCAGTGACGATGCTCTTTCAAACTTCTAATTACTAACTCTTCCTCTGCCCTGAGCACCCACCATGTACTTTTCTATGATCACCATCTCATTTAATTTACTTTCAAGCCATGGACATGCCTGATGGTATGGTATCCCTTCATTCTGGCTGATTCAGGAAATTCCCTATCAGCAAACAACTTTATGAACAAACAGAAAATGGACAAGTCCCTTTTTGCAAGAGGACAACGATATCCTAGAAATGTTAAAGTTCTCAACACCACAATACATTTTTGATGAAAAGAAATCATTATTGTTTCCTTATTTTGCATCTGGATAGCAACTAGTTTTGTGTTCAACTTAGCCAGATCCTACAGTACATTAAATAACTGTTTCCTTCCTTCCTTCCTTCCTTCCTTCCTTCCTCCCTCCCTCCCTCCCTTCCTCCCTTCCTCCCTTCCTCCCTCCCTTCTTTCCCTTCCTTCTGTTTGGTTCCACCTGAGTGCAGAGGAGCCCTCATGGGAATCCCAGGGAGTACCCTTGGAGATTTTGCCACAGAAATTTTAAAGCAGACAGTTCAAATTTGTGGTTCAGTGTACAACCTAAACTTAACGCACACAGAACAGATTTTATTTGGAAAATTCTGACATCTACCACATCGATCACTTTCACACTAGTTGGTTATGTTCCTTTTGTAGTACATCATAATGTTTTAACAAATTACTTTCAGTAGACTTAGTGAATATGCTTTCAAATCAAATAAAACTTCCCCTATTCTTCAGTAGAAATGGATATAATCAGAGTAGTAATGAAACATTAAGTCACGTACCAGTTTACAGCCATCTTCACTTCTAGATTCTGATTATCTTAATGACTGGATGATTTTCAACCTAAATTTTTACCGAGCAGTTAGTCTGTTTTACAAATTTAGAAGTACTTTTATTTTTTAAGCTTTCCTAAGTAATTTCAGACCCTGGTTTAGTCTCCCAATTAAGCACACAAGTGTGTGAAGAACTATGTTTCATGAAGAACTATGAAGAAGACTATGATTCTATACATTTAAATATCTTATCCAAGTGGAGGGAAAGCCTTATAACTTCTAAGGAAAATGTTTAGTATACTCTTGTCTTTCCCTGAGGAAAGAAATGTGAGAGTAGAAGCAGCAAATTGAATACAATATGATTATTTTCCTTTACTGACAACCATCAATCCAAAATTTGAGAAATTAAATTAAATTTACCAGTGCTGCGCTGCTCAATATTATCATAAAAATTATAAAATTTTCAAACCAGCTATGTTTAACAATTCTGTAGCAGGTTTTTCTAAAGTTCCACCAAGTTCTGCCTGGAAACTTAGTGATATCCACTACACAACACGGGAAATACTCAACACAACCTGAAAAGAGAAAAAACAGCATATTGGTTCCATTCAAAATGTAGAGACTTGGAATCTAAAAAGTGTAAGACATCTTAAAATGAGCTTCTACAGACTACAAAGTGCTATTTTACCTATGGGGTAAAATAGCTGCTGTGGCTAAAACGATCTAAAGCTAAAGAAAAGACAGAATTTGTAGGCTGAAATAATCTCTTTTAATAGAACAACTCATACATGGAAAAAAGCAGAGAAGCTTGGGCTCATGGGCACAAAAGAGCCATTTCTTCTATCATCTAAAAAACTTGCTTATTTTATTTTCTGCATTTATTCCTTTTTTTTTTTAAAAAAAAAAAAAAAGATATTACCTTACTAGTGGTTTAGTAAATTATTATTTTTACTAATTTTTTCACTTGATTGATTCATACGCCATGCTTGGAGGTCAGAGAAATGTTGAAGTGCTGTTTAAGATACCAGGTACCAACATACATGTCCTAACTGTCTCAGGCCAATTTGGAAACGTTCTAAACAGTTATCTTTGAATGCTGGTTCATTTGGTGTCACTGCAATAAATAAAAGATTCTTACTTTCTGCAAAACAGTCCTTAGGTATGTGTGACTTTTTTTTAGGCTGGGAAAACACCTCCAGAAGAATAACTGGATCCACAGTGCTGGCTTCAGAATAGCTACCAACATCACATTTCTGCATAGGAAAAGAAGAGAATTTATTTGCTTTTCATTAATAAAGTTACCAGATTTAAAATAAATTATACTTATCACCCCACCCCCCCCCAAAAAACAATCTGCAGCATATAAATTACCTTAATGTTGCTGAACTAAAATTACAAATAATAGGACAGAAAAGTCTAATCCCTCCTCTTTTCCATTACTTTAATAAGTTTCTTGGTTTCTTCTAGACATCTACATTGGACTTGCAGGAAGAAAATGTTTAGAAGAGACTATATTATGTTACAACTTTACTTTAGAGAAAACTCTGATTTCTTCATGCCAATACAATTCTCTCTTCATTTTCAGAGCTACAAACTATGTCTCAAAAGTCTTGAAGACAGGAAGGCCTAGCAGGAAAGAAATGTAAGTGTAGTCTATGCATCTCAAAGAACTGTAGTTATTGGTAGGTAACCTACACACCTATAAAACTAAAGACAAAGAGGAAAACAAGTATAAAGAAAACAGAACAAAGCAATCTATCGGCCATAAAGTGTAAGTGCCCTGTATGACATGGAAAAGGAAAGCAAGAGGACAGGGATAAGAATGAGAAGCCAGAAGAAGGGAGAACTGCTTCTGTTGACAGCCATGCTGCTCTACAGGAACTTAAGGTCCTAGGGAATCTTCAACATAGACAAAAATGCAATTATTTAAATTCATGGGCATTTAAATACTTTAAAATTTTTTATATAAATTTAATTCAATGATATGTAACAAACAAAACTTCTTGCAACTTTATATAAACCCAGAAAATGCTTAAGTGGTTTGACTTTTGGAGGTAGTAATCCAGAAAGTTGCTAACTTCCATGTAATTTTCTGGGTCCTTGGAGGCAAGCCATGATTCTTCACCTTTTTGATGTGGAACTGCACTGTATTAGAATAAGCTAAGCTTCTAGACCAGAAAAAGTATGGTTGTTTTGGGAACCGTTTCTAGAGAATATATTTTTGCATCCAAGGATGACAGCAAACAGAATTATCTATAAAAACGAATAGTATGTATCAGATATGTTTAAAGAAAGTGTGTTTCTTGATTAATTTGTTTGCTTATTTTGTACAAAATAATATATTAGGTTACACTGTTAGCCATGGCTGTATATGAGAGACAAACCTCCGTGCTTTAAACTATTATTACCTCCAGAGAGATGTACCATCTTCACAGGGATTATACTTGCTACTCTTCGGAAAACCCTAGCTTGTCCTATCATTGCTGAATGAGAGAACCACTGTGACATTTTTCATCTCTAGCATATTCCACAAGATGATAAAAGTTATAATTACCTCTTTTTGCTCTTTCTTCTGGAGTGTTTCTGAAAAACCACTTATAGTTTCAGAAGTCCCAGAAATCTGACTGAAGCTGCTTGAACTCTGGCACTGCTCTCTATGTCTTAATCTGTCTCCCTGCATGAAATAATGCAAAACAGTTGATTTTCCACATTTTTCTTCCTGATAATCATTCTTAAAAGTAAAAATTCTTTAACAGAATTTAAAACATCCACAAAATTTAGTATGTTTGTCTTTTTTACAGATAATTAAATGATATCCCTAAAAGGCATGTAAAAGAATGGTTTCTTCCTCAATTTCAAATCCTGTGGTTATACTGTGGAAATGTATCATTCCTCAAGATCAGCATTTAGCCCACTGATGGATTCCTGTATCGAATTCACTAAGTTCTGATGAACTGGCTCAGTAGCAACCTGTGCAGCTGGAACCCAACAGTTTTGTGTTTCTAGTTACAGGCAGAAGAGCTAAGTGATCCCAGTCAGCTCTCAGTCCTTTTGCCAATACAAATTCCAAACAATACCAGATTCCACTGCAGCAGAGAAAGAATTTCTGTCATCAAATGCTTATGGACAACATATTTCAAATAGCCGCAGATGATTCTAGGGTGATTTCTGCTTCTTTGAGAACTTGTCTGAAGATATTCCACTGATGATGCCTCTTCTTAGGCCCAAAACCATAGAAAACGGATCCTACCAGTTCCCCTAGACACTGACCTTATGATAATCACAAATAGCACCTGGTTTTGACATTTCTGCCAGGGCATAATACTAGGTAACTGCACTTTGAGCCCAAAAACCTGTTCTGATAAATTTAAAATATGGTAATATCGCAATCATAACACAACTGGCACTCATAAAATACAATCTGTAACAAGCTGATCTAGGTACAATATAGTCACCAAAGCCTGGTGTTCCACTTGAGCTTGCTGCTCACACATTTGAATGTTTTTTAGATGAGCTAAACCCTGTATTACCACATGCTTACACCATTGCTTTTACCTATCAAGAAAAAAAACCACAGTTGCAACATCACAGGAAAGCTCATTCCTACTTGCATGTGGTAGCTGGAGAAATAAGCAGAAATGAATAAAAATACTTAAAATCACAAGCTACTTTCCGTAAGAGAATTTCTATCTTGCTTTATGTGAAGAACCTGCAAAACGGCTCATTCTTCTGTTCTATAAGCCAGCTTCTATTGGTACTTCCTTTAGTACAGGTCTGAGAAGTTCATATTTTTTTGTTCACCTTCTGACAAAAGATTGCAGGGAAGGTATATTGGAGTCTGCTCTTTCTTATTACTACTGCCTGTGAACAAGGCAGGCTTCTAAAGAAAATTAACTTGAGGTCCTTGAGTGCTGAGCTGAAACTACTACTGGATGTTTCATACATAGCTGCAGTACTGTCAATGGGCTAAAAGATATCACCTTTACCTTCTACAGGCAAAAATATTTAAAAGGGAATAAGAATCTCAGAGGATGACACAATGATTCTGAAATAAAATGTATTCATGCAGACAGATCATCATATTCATATCCTTTCTAAGCAATCACATCACATGTAATAAAAGTAATGTTGTCACAAACAGAATTTCATTAAAACACATCACCCTCCTTAAAGGAAAGTAATTAGATAGAATTCCGTTTCACTAAAAAGTATAACATGTCATTAGAGAGGAGAAAAGAAAGCAAAAATAAGGAAAAAAAAAATCAAGACAGCAAAACGGAAGAAAATACGAAGTGCGAAAGTGGGCAACATACAAATAGTGTGAACACGCAGCAAGGGACGCTACTGAATGCAGTGAGGACACAAAGGGTTTAATTCAGTTGCTTGCCCTAAACTGCTTAGTGTCTTTTAAGATACCTAGGGGTACCTAAGACATACACATGGCGTAGTTAAATACACATGGCATAGTTAAATACAGCACAGCATCTACAGGAACTGACAGATACCTTTATGGAGGTGCATTTAGAAGCTGTATGAGATAATCTAGTACCTCAAATGGCACCTGACATCTATGAGGTGAGTAGTATGTGGAACCTTGAGGCTCAGGTATCTAAACAGAGTGATCTAGTTGTGGCTGATATCTAGTGTCATCTGAGGTGTTTCTACATACCCCTGGCCTCCAGATGCCAAAAAGAGTTCCTACAGCTTCTGTGTCTTACTTGTCAGTCCCATGTGGATGTGAAAGACAGCTGAAGTATCTCATATATCCCTAAATGCCTGTCTACAGGCAAATGAATTGCACTATTATTGACTATCATGGCAGCATAAATGCCATGCACATGCAGAAATCTGTATTTAGTTGTCTGTATTTAAGTGCCTAAGACTTGATCTTAATCCTGCCCAACACAACAAAATCAAGAGATATAACGGCGAGTTCAAAGTATCATAGAGGATTAAAAAAACATTAAGAAATTATTTTTTTCAGCTGAAGCCTTTATGTGCATTCCATTTGGATTCCATGCAACAGAGAAGCAACATATAAGCAACACAAGAGGCCTGCCTTCCAAAAATTCCAGGTGTCATCTGTAAGGCAAAGGAGGCAAAACAAAAGAATGTCTGTCTTGATCAAACTTCATTTAGCAGTTGACAGCAATAAATGGAAACAAAACAGAGAGAAGCAGAATTATGGTTATCAATGAGGAGAATGATGAAAAAGTGGATATTTAACATCTCTTATTGAATAACAAAGACTGTTAGGAGCTCTTGCATTTTGAAGGCACTGGCAGAACAAAGAAAGTAAAATGGCAGAAATGCCAGAAGGGATAACATTTACTGTTGACTCTCCAAGACTATATTTACAGATGCAAGTTACAATAATTTTTCAAATATTAACATTCCTTACCCGTTTTCTGTATTCTGTTTCTGTGCATACACTGTGCTCATCATCACCTTCATCAGTGTAAGTCTCTGCTAATGCAATGGGAACACTGGTGCTACGACTAGTTAAATATTCTTCATATTTCCTTGTTATTGAGGAACTCTCTTCAGTATTGTAATAATTGTCAAAGCAATTGTGGTCTATGTCCTTTCTGACATCAGTCATGGCATAGTGATTTTCCTCTTTGTCTTTGGTAGAAATTTTCACCAAAGTCTTCTTTTTGGCTGTTGTTTTGAGGTTTCGTTTCATTATTTTGCCACAGCGTTCCCAAATTCTGCCCTTCACAGACTGCAGGCCCTTGTGAATCCGTGCAATGGCAACCTGACATTTAGTCATTTGTCCGGCTTCCTCTTGTCCCATTGAGGAGTCAGTACTGAACGAACTCAGCAACAAGGCAATGAATAGGTTGAGCACCTTAAAATAGTTAACGTAAGTTGGAGACACTACTACTAACAGAAAAGACATTTCAGAAAACTCTCCTCAGATTAAAAAATCTCAATCTTGCTTTCCTCAACCACTGCAATGAAATTATTTACTATTACTCTGGAATATTAATAGAGTATGATATGGCTCCTTCTGGAAGGAAAGGCAGGAGAAAAAGGAAGGAAGTGAGGGTTTGGGTATATCAAATATATTTTCACATGCTCTGATGTCCATAATGTACAAGGAGGTAGATATTTTGAAAAACAGCATGCAAAGATAGCTTTTAATAACACCACCATCAAAAAAGATCTGGTATTGACCAACAAACCAAGTAGATGAAAAAGATTTAGACATTAGATCTAGTATATGTCACAGAAACCAGAAAATCTAGGTACTGTAAACTTTTGATAATATAAGGATAAATTGGTAAGCATTAAAAGCACTGAACAGTTTGGTTATTTTATCCTAGCAACACAAAAGATGAAGAAATCAGACACCAAATTATCAAAAGTACTGTTCTTCTATACTCTGGGTAGAAGGAATGATTTTGTGTATTATTTTGCTTAGCAGTTACCTTGAGTGTGAGAAAGAGCAAGACAGGGGAAAAGAAAAAAAAAGACAGAATGAAAACATATATTAAGGAACATCCAGAAAAGAGAATAGTGTGAATACCCTTCAAATGACAAAGTTTGCCTCAGAAAAAAAGTTGCCAGGGTAACTGGATGCATTCCATAAGGACTGAAAAATAGCTTGAAACTCACCACCAGGTTTCCTATCACCAGGACTAGCAAGAAAATGGGAAGACACAGTCCTTTTCCAGCCACTTCCATACATTCCCACATGGTTTCAATCCATTCTCCACATAATATTCGGAATATAATCAGGAATGAATGACAAAAATCCTTCATATGCCAGCGTAAATTCTCATTGGTGTTTATTTTATAGTAATAATTCTCATAATAATTGCCCAAAACCTGCTTTCCTACTACAGCAAAAATAAATACAGTGATAATCAAAACCAGAGTGAGGTTACCCAGAGCACCAACTGAATTTAGAATTATTTTCATAAGAGTATTTAAGGCTGGCCAGGACTTTGCCAATTTGAAGATCCTGAGCTGTAAGTAAAACACAAGAGAGCAATGTGAGTGGCAAATACTGCATGAACAGCGCAACACACTTAAAAACCAGACCCTGCATTTATCATACTGTCTTTACTTCAGTAACAGGTTCATAATTTTTCTCCCAAAGAAGGGTTTCTAACTGTTCAAATCCAAAAGCACTGTGCTTAAACTCAGATGGTTAATGTTACTGAGAACAGAGAACTGCCAAAGCTTTCAAATTGTGCTAAGTTAGATATGAGCATGTGTAAGTGTATTAGTAATAACAGCAATAACAATAATTGTAATAATAATCAAGTGGCTCATAGATACTCAGACAAGGCTTATGAAATGACTGCATTTTGGACTAAATCAAATGTAATCAGACAAAAATTGAAAAAAGAATTTTTTCTACCGTTACCCAACTGACTTAAAATAGGATCTGAAAAGCCAGATGGGATCTATTCTATGCACTCTCATGAGTAAAAAGGACATTTTTAGTCAAATTAGCATTCAGGGCCATTAAAATCTCTCAGTCATGACACACAAGATGAAAGAGAATTCAACTGAATTTCTAGGTGTGATGACTCTGAAAAGCTATGAAGAATCTTAGAATTAGTAAATTTAGCATTCTAAATACATAATAAGGATGTAAACAAAAAAATAACATTATACATAGACATCTCAGACCTATTCCTCCTCTCCGCTCACATGGAGGAAAGTCTAAGCCTTGAGGACAGCTACGTTATTTTACAAATCTCAACTCAAAAGGAAAAGCTGTGAAGGAACCTTTGCTATCCTTAAGCTCATGAAAACATTCAGATAATATCTTTTCCTAACTGAATATCTGAAACATAGTTGAGGAGTGCCACTGTACAGACCTAACAGGGAACCAGTGAACTCTCAGCTAGGTCAAATCTCCAAGAGGGTGCACTGCACCAGAGGATTTGTACTATCCAATATATCCAGTATAATAAACATATTGAACATATTCCTTAATATTCATTTAATATTCACTCTAATTAAACATTCATGTTGGCTTACTATGTACTAACAAGAACTGATTTAATGATTCATCAGTAAAATAATTTGAGGGTATTTCACTGTAATCTTTTATGAATCTATACAACACACGTACTTTTAAAAAAGAGTAAAGAAATAATTACCAGCCTGAAAGATGACAGATTTTCTTTAAAGCTTATTAGGCCAATCATAACAACAATGCTATCAAAAATATTCCATTTTTGCTGAAAATAGTTGTAAGGATCTAGAGCGATGATTTTCAAGACCATTTCTGCTGTAAAAATGAGGGTGAAGACCTGGAAAGAGGAAAAAGAAATTCAGCAAAAAGTCACTGAAAAAGTATGTCTCCATCTGGGACTGTCCCAGCATAAATATGGGGTTATAACTCCATATTCACTCTAACATAAACCTAACTTACCTTGTCACTTATAAAAATCATTTGTTGGTAATTGCATGGCATGTCAGGATACTCCAGAGCCATGAATAAGGTATTGACGATAATGCAAACCATGATTAAGAGATCAACAAATGGATCCAAAATTACCAATTTCACCTTCTCTTTGACTACTCTCCAGAATGGACAACAATTCCAAATTAGATACTTCCGAGCAAAACGTTTGCATAAGGAAGGGCATTTCAGTTTTGACTCTTGCAGTTCTAAATGACAAAGAGGGAAAATGGCATACGAATAATCTTATGTGGAATTTCGTAGGATGAAGAAAAAGACAATCAGCCATAGAAAAGATGGAAAACAAAAATCAATCTCATGTGAACAGAATGGCATCATTGAAAATCATTGTTTCACTCATTCTATGCAAAATAGTCACAGACTATTTAAAGGTCACCATCATCAAATCTCATAATTACAGAAACAGGTGATATTACCTACCTCTTCATATGTTTATTATACTATTCAAGGATGATAAAAGATTTGTATTAAGGAGAAATAACTTAACTGTCTGTGTTACATCTGCAGAGTCACAGATGCAGCATGGGTAGAAAAAAAGTCCAGGATAAAATGAAGAAGGGCGTGCCCCATATCTTGGTGTCCATAGTTAAGGATAGGGTTATAAGTCAAGTCAAGTTGGAAGGGATCCCAGGAGATCTCTAGTGCAATCCTCCTCTCAAAGCAGGGTCAGTCATGAGGTCAGAAACTGCACAACCTATTCCTCTGCCTGACTGTTCTCATGGTGAAAGCTTTTCCTTACACACAGTTTCAAGCTCTCTTCTTTCAATTTATGTTTGTTGTCCCATCTTCCCACTGTGCACCACTGTGAAGAGCCTGGCTCCATCTTTTTGATAATGTCTTCCTATGCACTGCAAGGCTGATATTAAGGTCCCCTCAAAACCATCTCTCCAGGCTGAACCAAGTGCTCCAGCCCCTGACTTGATGGCTCTCCACTGAACTCAATGTATTTCTTCTATTGGGCGAGCTGGGGGGCAAACCGGGCATAGTATGTGGTCTAGCAAGTGCTTAACAAAGGGTGATAATCACTTTTCTCCTGGCTATGCTCTTTTAACATAGTCCAGGACACTGTAAGCCATTGCTACTGCAAGGGCATGTTGCTGGCTTATGCTCAGCTTGCTGCCCACACAGACCCCCCCAGGGCCTTTCCTGCAGAGCTGCTTCCCAGCCAGCCACCTCCCAGCCTGTATTGTTGCAAGAGGTTCTTGCAGATATGCAGAAGTTTACATTTGTTCTGGTTGAATTTTCATAAGGTTCCTGTTGGCCCATTCCTCCAGCTGGTCTAAGTCCCTCTAGATGTCAGCTCTTACCTCCAGTGTAGCAAGTGGTTCCCCCCAAATTTGGTGTCATCTGCAAAATTTAAGAGTAAGCTTTCTGTTGCCTCCTCCAGGTCACTTAGGACAAGACACGTCCTAGGAGACAGCCCTGCAGTACTCCAGTCATTACCTGCCTGTAACAGGTACAATAAGACCTGTTCACCAGACGCTGGAAGCCCAAACATCCAACCATTTTTTTGTCCAGCTGGTTGTCCACCCTAATACCCTAACGTAGATAAAAAAATACGGTGAGAGACAGCATTGAAAGCCTTGCTAAAGTCAAGGTAAATGAAAACATTGCTCTCCCCTCATCCACAAACCCCAGTCATTTTATTGTACAGGGCAATCAGGTTGGTCAGGCATGATTTACCCTTGGTAATTTCAATTGCAGTTACGTGAGTTACGGGAATATTTATTTTACTGAAATTTACATTTGATTGTAGCATAATTTCCCCTAGTGACTTTTAAAATAATGCTGATTGTTTGTGACATTTTGATCTCTTAGGTCAAGTTACACAATCACCACAGGAAAAACACTAAAGAATGACTTACGCAAATTATCTGTAATAACAGTGGCTGCACTCATTAACCTCTGTCTTCGATAAGGATCTTTAATAGACTCCACTGACAATTCATAGGACAGCAGTATCTGCCTCTTTGGTTAGAAAGACAACAGAAGATAATATAACAAGAGAATATGAATAAATGGCAATATAAAAATTATGTCCAGTGTAAGATAAATATCCCTTTTTAAATGCACATTGTAATGAAGTTTTACTTTGCTGAAAGAATGTAAAACAAAACAATAAAACAATATCATGTGTTTGCCTTTGAAGGCAAAGGACGTTTCATCAAAGCCAGTAATATTTTTCAAGAAGTTGTTTCCTTCTGAAAATATATAACAACAGTAATAATGCCATTGTATAAGAAGTATAGAATCATTAACAGTGGAGCAAAGGAAAAAAAATAATTCGATCTTTCCCATGACTGATAAGAACGAAATACAAAAAGAACACTGATGATCAGTTTGAATAAATTATTGGCTATTGAACTATGAATTATGGATTATTAATAAACAATAAATATTTATTCATATTAAGAATAGTTATTTAGTGAATCAAAATTATCACTCTTCCCAGACCTATTAAGACTATCAAGATCTATACTAATATTGAACTGCCTAAAACTAGGAATGGGACTACTTTTGTTTTCATTAGAAGTTACAGAATGCTAAACTCAGTGTTCCTGATGTGCACTGAAGAACAGACAGGCCAATTCCTGTATCTTATGGGACACACTGAATTATCATAAAAAATTCAGTTCATGACACATTAACACACACTTCAAAGACTAAGAGACAATTGTAAAACATGGGCTGCAAAGAATAGGTGAGACACTGAGGTAGAGAAGAACAGAAAGAATGAAGATTCCAGTATCAGTGAGGACAAAATTAGAACTACTAGCTGACTGGGAGCCACTGATTGACCACATCATAATGCACAGTACCTTGGTATCCCCTTTCAGTCCAACTTGATTTGTTTGATTTTCTTTTTGTGAAGGTATATAAGTAAAGATATCATAGAATCACAGAATCACAGAATGGTTTGGGTTGGAAGGGACCTTTAAAGGTCATCTAGTCCAACTCCCCTGCAATGAGCAGGGATATCTCCAACTAGATCAGGTTGCTCAGAGCCCCGTTCAACCTGACCTTGATTGTTCCCAGGGATGGGGCATCTACCACCTCCCTGGGCAACCTGCTCCAGTGTTTCACCAGTAAAATATTACTGGCTTTGATGAAATAAAAATTTTCTGATTCTGTGAAACAGTGATTTAAAATAGGGATACGCAGCAGCGAAATAGTCCATTCAAGTTTTTATAGAACTGATTATGTACTACCAAAATGTTTGTATCTGATATGCTTTTTTTCTCTTTGACTGCCATGTTTGTGGCAGATTATATTTATTTGACTAATGGTAGAACTCTACATTGGAGCAGCTCACAGTGCTTGGATCACACTCCAGGTCTTCCTTTTTTTCTTTTTCTTTTTTTTTTTTCTATTTGTAGGACAAAGTGAGAACCATGATGTAGGGGACTGCGCAGAAGTGAGTGTACAGGCGGACTATGCATCTTGAAGAACCCTCATGACTGAAAAATAGTTTCTTCTGCTGTCAAATGATCATCTGTAAGTATGCATAAGACAGCATAAGACTACAACCAGGATCTCACACAGTCACAATGACCTGGAGCTGGGCCTCGGAATTCTTCATGCAGATAGAGTAGACCACCTGTTAGCAAGCACAGCAATGTAGTCTAAACTCTGCAGAATATACTCCTGAAAAGTGGGTTCCATTTAACATTTGTGGTACCAGGTTCTAATGCAACCTATTATCTGTTTCCAAAAGTTCCTATATAGAAATATTCATAACTTTGCCATTCTCTGCACATAGAGAGGGGAAGGGACCTTTGGATGGATCTGCAAATGTTATTTCTGAAAAGTAAAAATACAGATTGCTTTTGGCATCCAACCTGTGCAGATTTTGCAGCCTTGGAGAAGTAAGGTATAGGAACTAAACCAAATTTATCTCCTGGCTCAGTAATCTCCTGAAACACAGTCACAGTCTTAGAAGAAAAAAATGAAATAGGGATAATCAGCCATAAAAGCTGATTTTTATGCTTACAGAAGATACTTACACCTGCTACGGAAAGACTTTTTTTCCTCAGTAGGTGTAATAATACACTACCATGGACTGTGACAGAGTGTTCCCTTTAAGTACAGCAGAACCAAATTAGGTTGCAAAGTGGCATAATATTCTTAACACAGCAAGGGCACTGTTAATGACACTCTATAAGAAGCAAATTCTATACAAAAGGAGATGACAGATGGCAGTTGCTGCCAAGTGGATGATTTTGATTCCTTCAGCTCAGACACATAATTTAATATAGCTAGGATCAGGGAATTTAGAAGAAATTCTGAACATGCTGACTGCCAGAATGAAAAGCTAATCCATTTTAGCTAGGATAACATGTCTGATAAAACATTCCTCTACAAGGACACTTTTCAAAAGGAAGGAAGTTGGGCCATCACTCCTTTAGCTCTGCTACTGGAAAGTTTCCATTTTCTATGAGATAGGTAGGAATAATTCTGATGTTCTCCCAGAAGCAAGAGAAAATGTGCCAAGAGATGGAACAGACTATCAGGGGTAGGGAGGTCATAGAAAATATGCTGGGAGGCAGAGGGGTGAGGGATAATTTCAAAATGAACAGTGGATGTTTTGGTGATGAATTCCAGCTCTCCACATCTAGAGATCCTGCTCAGTCATGGTAAAGGATCACCAGAGAAATAGAAGGAAGAAACGCATCTGAGAGTGTGAATGAAGACTGGTTTGAAATTCCTGCCTGCATTATCAAAGGTGTGGCCGGGAAGCAAGGTTTCAGTCAAGGTGTCATTTGGACACAAACATCTACTTTTACACCATCTGTTTTTCCAGTGGATCCTATTTGGTCTAAGTCACAAGCCTGTACCAGAGAATGGCTGTTGCTGAACCAGTATAAGGGCATTAAAAGCTTTCTTTTCAGATATTGTTGAAAATAACTCAGTAATATGGATAATTGCCTGATAATTATTTCAGAAGATTCAGCTCAAGATTAAAATATCTAAATATAGGCATCTAAATGTAAATGTTTACATAGAGCAAGAGAAAAACTAAAGTTGGGAAGGTCCCCTGGAGTCCTCCCACTCCATCACTCAAAGCAGGGCAAACTTCAGCTGTAGGGCCTTTTCCAGCTACATTCTGAGTATCTCCAAAAATGAAGATCCAAAAATTTCTCTGGAAAACCTGTTCTAACATTTATCCTCTGTCACAGTGATTTTTTTTTTCCTCCTTAATAACTAATCAGAATTTCCCTTGTTGCAACTTGTTCCCCTTGACTTTTCATTGTGCACATGTAAGAAGATCTTGGCTCCTTCCTCTTTATATACTCCCCTTGGACATTAATAGATAGCAATAATCAGATTCTTCCCTTTCCCTTTTTTCCTTCAGGCTGAACAAATCCAACCTGTCCACCCCTCCTCACATATTATGTACTATAGCCCCTTAATCATCTTGGTGGGCTCCACTGGCTTTGCACAATATCTCAATGTAATCCTTTCACTGGAGAGCTCAAAACTCAACACAATACCCCAGGTGCAGTCACACACGCACTGGCCATGCCAAGGAAAGATACACACACGGACTGAGCATTGAGAAGGTAACAAATCTATACTCGGATGCTGGACCATTGGTAACATGATAGCAAGGACTGTCCATGAGATATATGGTATTTTGCCAGTGTTCAAAGGCACTGTGAAAAAAACCCCAAGACTAAGCAAAGTAAGAATTACAAGTCTTAATAGCAATTTCTTAATGGACTTAGAAAGGAGTGATGAGCAGAGGGATCTTTTCTAAAGCCAGAAGTCACTGCTGTAATCAAGATGGGAAATAGCGTGTGTGGGATTCAGCCTAATACTCAGACATCCGCATTTAATTTGTCCATGTGCACAATGCATCTAAAATGCCATTATAACTGATGCATATTTTTTTTATAAGTTTGGTTCACTTAAATATAAGTGTCTGAAGCCATTTGAGATGGTCTATTGAGACATTTGGTATCTGAGATGACCATAGTCTCAGACTAAGCAGACACGACACATCATGTCTGTACCCCTCTGCAGAGTAGATGGAGGCCAGGTAAGACACTCTAATGTCACTAGGTGTCAATTTGTGACCCAAAAAATTAAATCTCCATTTGAATCTGGGAGTTTAGAACCTAAATCACATGTAGACACCTGCAAACAAAAACCTGAAACACAATCCAGTTGCCTAAATCTAGGAATTTAGTAACATTTGAGATGTCATAATGTATTTGAGATATACACACAGTGCTAGAAGAAGTGCCACAGACACCAAAGATATTCGGGATATCCAACCTGTCCAAGAACATCTAAAGTGGCACTAGACGCTTATAGTTAGACATCTGAATCACGCCCATAACATTAGAAATATTCATACTGAACTGAATCCAACCCCAAAAATTTAGGCCAGAGAATTAGCTGTGTGTACAAAAAAAAGAAAGGTTAGGTCATTAGGGAAATTCTAAACCCTACAGGATTTTACGTGTTTGTTGATGCAGCACAGTAGAGATGCCAGCAGATCATACCACAGTTGTAAGCGCATAATGTGTCATAAGTATGCTACCGATGGCTACTTTGAACTTTTCTTTCAAGTCCATATAGTGCTGTCTCCCTTTGGTCCCAAAATCTAACTTTCAGACTACTTTAAAAAAACCAAGTTAATTCAATGCATGCATGAAGGAAAAGGGGGTGGGGGAGGGAGGGGGAAGAGGGAAAAATTGCAAATAAAGAAAGCTTTTCTGCTCATCAAATTCTCATATCACATGCATGTCTAATGAACATATCTTCTATTTCGAATACTTACAAGCTTCTTGTGGCAGTGACCAGGCTGCGAACTAAAAATAAGTTCCTCTTTGCCACGATCACCTAAAATTAAGTTTTGTCTTAAAAAAGGTTTTTCCTTCTTCATCTCTTTTTCTTTTAAATCTTTCAAGTCAGCAACTGACATTTCAGATCTGACAGGCAAAGCATCATTAGCCTCTCCA